AAAAAAAAAAAAAGAATAATGAGCTGCTTCTGTCTGGTGAAGACAGTGGCATTTTTATTCCAGGGGAACTATAGACTATAAAAGTTAGCTCTTCTTGATCCTTCTGGAACCAGTATGGCTTGTTTAAGCTTCAAAGAATAACTCACCACAGTTTTGGTTGTGGCTTGTTAGTTTTTAATGAACTGGGTCCCTTGTCTATTTCTGTTATTTATCAGAATAGCCAGTGTGTGGCCCTGAGATAAAAGTAGCCTCAGACACTAAATTTAGGACATCTCATTATTACCTACTAGTGCCTGTGAGGCAACAATTGTTCATTAGCATTCACCCAGAGAAGTTTACAAATTACTACCAGAGACATAATACAAATATAGTGTAAGGCTATGCAGCCTTCCTCTTTGTCATATGACATGATAGCAACAAGGCTACTCCACTTCCAGATGTTCCTTTTTCAGAATGTGGCTCTCTTAGGTGGGAAAGTCCTCTCTCTGCCAAAACTAGCGACCCCACTTAGAACCAGGCACTGGTGTCTGTAAGGGCACAGCAAGGCTGTGCTTCACAAATGGCATTTAATTGTGCGCTTTCAGAGCCTGTCTCTTGTGTCCCTACTCTCCTAGCACATTATTTACTGCTGAGCCTGATTCCAGTGCCATTCTTCCTGAAGTTAAACACAGGCTTCGGCTGCAGGAGAAAGGTACTTTAATTGCAAGACAAAGAAAAATACTTTAAAATATAATAGTGTATCCTGACTATAGGTTTACCTAGGGAAATACTGAAATTTTATGCAGGATTCAAATAATTTCTAAGCCATGAGTAATTGATGTACATCTGACAAGTTGTACTAGCATTTTACTTTAAGTACCTAAAAAGATGAGAATTTTCTATTTGAATCTTATTTTGGGTGCTTAGGATTCCTAACACAAAGACTCAAGGACAGAGGTGCATAGGTTTGCATTATAAATGCATCATTTCTTATCAGACAGTAGTTTTTCAGTCATCTCAACCCAGAGCTTCTAATTGTGTCATTCTGAATTATAGGTGTGATGAACCAAGGAGTAGCCCCTATGGTAGGGACTCCAGCCCCAGGTGGAAGTCCATATGGACAACAGGTAAGCCTCTCAGTTTCATTTTTCTAGGACTTCTAGACTAGGATTCTAGTCTTCTTCCTTCTCAGAACATGTACAGAGTATTTTTGCTTCACTATGTGGTCCCATGCTCTTTCAGGTGGGAGTATTGGGGCCTCCAGGGCAGCAGGCACCACCTCCATATCCTGGCCAACATCCAGCCGGCCCCCCTGTCATACAGCAGCCAACAACACCCATGTTTGTGGCTCCCCCACCAAAGACCCAACGACTTCTCCACTCAGAGGCCTACCTGAAATACATTGAAGGACTCAGTGCTGAGTCTAACAGCATTAGCAAGTGGGATCAGACTCTGACAGGTAAGGAGAGGTTTTTTGTTTGTTTGTTTGTTTGTTTGTTTGTTTTTGTTTTTAAGACAGTCTCACTATGTCACCCTCGGTAAAGTGCCATGGCGTCACAGCTCACAGCAACCTCAAACTCTTGGGCTTAAAGTATTCTCTTACCTTAGCTTCCCAAGTAGCTGGGACTACAGGTGTCTGCCACAATGCCTGGCTATTTTTTTGTTGTAGTTGTCATCATTGTTTAGCAGGCCTGGGCTGTGTTCAAACCTGCCAGCCCTGGTATATGTGGCTGGCGCCATAACCACTGAACTATAAGCACCGAGCCAGGAGAGGTTTTTTTTGATGTTTGGTTTTTAAAGACAGAGTCTCACTCTATCACTTTGGGTACAGTGCCGAGGCATCACCGTACCACACAGCAACCTCAAACTCTTGGGCCAAGAGCAATCCTCTTGCTTTAGCCTACCAAATAGCTGAGACTACAGGAGCCCACCACAATGCATGGTTTTTCCTATTTTTAGTAGAGACAGTGTCTCACTTTTGCTCAGACTGGTCTCCAACTCCTGAGCTCAAGCAATCCGCCTGTCTTTGCCTATAATCCCAAAGTGCTAGGCATGTGCCACCTTACCTGGCCAGGAGAGTCTTTCTAAATGAGGTTTTGGGAAATATATGCTTCTTCATCCCTTTTTCCAATATAGTTAAATCACATATTTCATAGACTAGTTTGGAGTTTCTTCACATATTGACATCACACACTGAAAATGTGTGAGTCATCTTTTGAAGTATATTCTGAACTTTTCTCAATTATTTTTTAGGCATTTGGGAATTAAGTATAAATGCAGTTGAATAAATTAAAAATTATTTCATTTTAATGTAACAAAAGGAAAAATATCCAAAAGCTTGTTTTTATCCTATCAAGTTATTTCGTTCAGTAGACTTAATGTTTTGGGGGGTTTTTGTTGTTGTTGCCCCAGGCTATAGTGCTATGGTGTCATAGCTCAACAGCAACCTCAAACTCTTGGGCTCAAGCAGCCCTCTTGCCTCAGCCTCCCAAGTAGCTAGGACTACAGCAGCTCACCACAACTTGGAGCTAGCTTTTTTTCTATTTTTAGTAGAGATGAGGTCTCATTCTTCTTCAGGCTGGTTTTAAACTCCTGAGCTCAGGCAGTACACCTGCCTTGGCCTCCCAGAGTGCTTGGATTACAGCATGAGCCACCATGCCCAGCAAGACTTAATGTATTTTCAGTACATACTGAAATAACTTGTCTAATTTCTGCAGAGAAATTATTAATTTTCTACTTGTTCTTCATTTCTAAACAAAATTTGATCATTTGATTTCTTGTGAGTAGTTTATTTTCCCTTTCTTCAAATGTTTACTTTTTTAGATATTGTTAACATTGAAGTAATTATATTCCTGCCTATAAAAACTATTAATGATTAAGCCATCCATGGTTGCCTATAATTCTAGCATTTTGGGAGATAGGATCACTTGAAGCCAGGAGTTTGTGAGACCAGCATGGGCAACATAGCAAGACCCTGTCTCTTCAAAAAAGAGAAAAATTAAGCCAGGTGCGATGGCTCATGCCTGTAATCCTAGCACTCTGGGAGGCTGAGGTGGGCAGATGGCCTGAGCTCACAGGTTTGAGACCAGCATTAGCTAGAATAAGACCCCGTCTTTAACAATAATGAGGTGTTATGATAGGCGCCTTTAGTCCCAGCTACTCGGCTGAGGCAAGAGAATCACTTGAGCCCAAGAGTCTGAGGTTGCTGTGAGCTGTGATGCCATGACATTCTCCCAGGGGGTAACAAAGTGAGACTCTGTCTCAAAACAAAAAAGAAAAATTAGTCAGGCATGGTAGTGCGTGACTGTAGTCCCTGCTACTTAGGAGACTGAGGCAGGATAACTGTTTGAGCCTAAGAGTTTGAGGTTAAAGTGAGCTATGATAATGCCACTATACTCTAGTGGCATTTTTTTTTTTTTTTAATTTGGCCTGGGAAGTTGGCTCACACCTGTAATCCTAAAACTCCCAGAGGCAAAATGGAAGGATTACTTGAGGTCAGGAGTTTGAGACAAGCTTGAGCAAGAGCAAGACCTTGTCTCTACTAAAAATAGAAAAAAATTAGCCAGGCATATTGGCATGCACTTATAATCCCAGGCAGGCCCGGGTTGGGTTCAAACCTGCCAGCCCTGGTGTATGGGCCAGAGGCTTGAGGCAGGCAGATCACTTGAGCCCAGGAGTCTGAGGTTGTAGTAAGTATGATCATGCCACTGCATTGTAGACCAAGGCTACAGAGTGAGACTCTGTCTCAAAAAAAAAAAAAAAAAATTATATTTTTAG